CCTTCCTTCCTTCCTTCCTTCCTTCCTTCCTTCCTTCCTTCCTTCCTTCCTTCCTTCCTTCCTTCCTTCCTTCCTTCCATCTTCTCTATTCTTCCTCTAGTATTTCTAATTTCCTCTACCCTTTCTTTTTCCCCCAGACTTTCTTAATTTCACTCATTCTTGTCCTGTTTTCCTTCATCCTTTTCTGTCAGAGAAATTCTTCCTTGTGTAATTCCTACCCCATCATTCCATTGCCTTGGACACGCCGGAGTTATTTGGCCGGAAGTGACACAATTTCTTCCAGACTGATTTAGGGGAGAAATAAACCCCAGCTGCCATTTTCTCCAAAATAATAAGAGTTCTTATACTGATGTGAACTTCTATCAGCTCTACTTTTGGTAGTGTAGTACCTTAGGCGCAGAGGCAAGAGGTTGCTTACATAGCTGTTGTAAATAAGTAAGTAAGTATTTTTTGCAGAAATTGACTGTTAATTAGATGCCAGTTCAAAAGATGGTTTTAAATATTATGGACCATTCAGGTTACTTGTGCTTCATGTTTTAGCTGTGAAAGTGGGTTTTAGTGCATTATTGTATCAACGTCTTGATGTTGCCTGATATTATTTTGAAGTGCACCTACTTATTGGCACAGGAAAAAGGACTCCTGCTATTACTACTACCTGATGGTGCAAGAGATAAGTTACACTACAGATCTCTAGTGAAGAGAACTGCATATCATAAATTTGTTTCAAATGCTAGTATGTTTAAGATTCCTTGGACAGATCTGTTAAATTTATCTCCAGTATTCTAGTCACCCTTCAATATTTCAATTTTCCAGCCAGGACTCTCCAAGCTTTTCGAATGATAGCACAGTGCAATCAGGCTTCATGTTTATATTTCCATTTTTCCATTTATATTTATATATATTTACATTTAATTTACATTTTCTCCCCCCAGAATCCTTTCATAAAAACAGTATTACAATAAGTTTGACAATTAATAAATAGCAACCAATGTAACTTTTTTTTTTAAAAAAGCAATGGGCTCTAGGTGTCATATAGATAAAAAAGCTACAGAAAAATAAATACAAAATGAATTTAAATATATAACTTTCAGCAGTCTGGTGCTCCTCCAGCTTTTCCAGACTACTACTCTTACAATGTCTAACAAGAGTGACCTTTTCTTCAGTCGTTGAAACTCAAGTTTTATTTCCCCAATATTCATTTGTACACTTTTCAGTGAGGGAAAAACACATGTCCTGTTTCCTTTTAGTCCTCACTGGGTCTGCTCCCTCCATCCTTTCCCTGTTGCTCAGCTGGGGAGGGACAGCTTGCATGTCCTTCATTATGTCCCACATAGGAATGTAGCTTTGCCCTTTTCCTACTTTAGCAAGAACTGTTTCCAGCACAGACCTCAGGCCACTGGGTTGATCATGTTCCAAGATGGTGGAGCATTGCCTGCTACTTTAAAAAAAAAATTAATAGCAGCTTACAGATGTCCCAGAAATGGGCTTGTCAGCTTTCCAGGTCTCCAAACTTAGAAAAATGGGCCTCTCATAGCAGTACTTAACAAAACTTCTGTAGGTGAAGATATCTTACTTGACTTGATTGAGATCATTCATTGCACTGAATTGTCTTCTCCTTTTTTACTGAGCTGTTTTCCACCAAAGCAAGCTGACTAATTCGTTTCCTTGTGAAGAAGATCTTCCTCCAGAACCAGAGTTTCTGCATGGAGTTCTTTACCTCTTTGTTCCTCAGGGTGTAGATCACAGGGTTGAGGAAAGGGGTTACCATGGTGTAAAAGACAGCTGCCATTTTCTCTGTTGAAAAGCTGGAGGTTGGGCGGGTGTAGATAAAAATACAAGGCCCCAAGAACAAGACCACAACAAGTAGGTGGGCAGCACATGTAGAGAAGGCTTTACGGCGGCCTTCGGCTGTCTGCTTTCTCAGTGAGAGAAGGATGATGGCATAGGACGACACTAAGGCCAAGAAGCAAACCAAGGAGATCACACCACTGTTCGATACTATGAGAACTCCAGTGAAGTACGTATCAGTGCAAGCCAACTTCATGACTGGGGGAATATCACAGAAAAAACTGTCTATGACATTTGGGCCACAGAAAGGAAGGCTAATGGTGAGGACAGTCTGGACCAGGGAGTGAATGATGCCCCCCATCCACAGAGCACCCACTAAGTATGCACAGATCTTCAGATTCACAAGATTCGCATACTGTAATGGATAGCAGATGGCAACACAGCGGTCATAGGCCATGATAGTCAGGAGGAAGATCTCAGCAGAAGCACAGATGTGGAGGAAGAAGAGTTGTGCCAAACATCCTGCAAAGGAGATGATCTTCTGGCTGAAAACAGAGTCAAGCAGCATCTTGGGTGCAGTGACAGAGGAATGGCAGATGTCAAGGAAAGACAGATTTCCCAAAAGGAAGTACATTGGCGTGTGGAGGCACTGGTTGCAAGCCACAGTAACCACAATCAAGAGGTTCCCTACTAGGGTAAGCAGGTAGATGAAGAAGAAAATGACAAATAAAACTAGTTCCAGATTCCGGTTATCAGTAAGTCCCAAGAACACAAAATGAGTCACTGTCTGGTTGAGCTCTGCCATTGGAATAGGACAGATTGACACATTCAACCTAAACAGAGAGAAATAATATATTTTGTTCAGAACATCTGCAAAGGTCTGTATGTAGATATACACACATACAAGCCATTCTTTAATATTAACATATGACCCATAACCACTCCCTTTCTTCAGGGGTGGATAGGGAATATATTTCAGAGAAAAAACATGGGGTTCCTGCCTTCAGTCAATATTTACTGGAATATGCTACATCCCTGATTTCTTTCATTGGTCCTACCTTTTGCCCAGCCATTCATCATCCATCCATTACATGTAGTCCTTCACTGCTTCATGCCTACAAGTAAAGTCTGTCTGAGGATAGGAGTGCACACACACAACATGGCCTCATTACTTCAAAAGACTGTGATAGGTTTATCAAGTGTTCCTACAAGGGAGCCGTTAAGATTTCCAATTGATGTGCCTTGTTCGGAGGTCAAAGACCTTGTCTTCAGAAGATTGCCAACTGTCTCAGCCTTTGCATTGTCTAAATACCTCTCTTTTTAAATATGTCTATCAGCTGGCGATCAACACCTAATGGACTAGTGGATTTAGAATCCTAAATTGTAGAAAAAATTAGAGTGCCAATGGTTTACATGAGGGGTCCTCTCTTTCTTTTCTCCCCACTATAATAACCCTGTCAGCAGATTCTGCTCAGGCAGATCAAATGACCCAATGTTACTCAGTTATTTTCCAGAACTAAGGGTAGACTAGACGCTGAAACTCCTTTCTCCTGGTCCAACAGCTTAACCATTATATGCTGGTTCCCCTACATCGCACTGTTTCTTAAAACAACTCTGATTGTATGGATGGGAAAGGCATTTTTTAAAATCCTTTAGAAACATTGCCAGAGAAACATAAGTAGTGCTGGTCTGATCAATCAATCCAACAATCACTCAGAACCTGGATGTTCGCATTGATAGTGATATTAGGTAGTTTAATCTCTTCATATTTATGGTCTTTCTCTTCCCTGATATGATGATTTTTTTCTTAATTGTTTTCCTTGTGACTTTGGTGACTGAGGCAATTAATAAACTGATTAACATGAATAAATAAATAAAATATAATACCCAGTGTGAAATAGTCCTATTAATCTCTTTGTTCATTTAGCCTTCTCTAACCTGATGTTCTTCAGTTTCTCAGTCAATCAAACAGTGACTTAGAACCTGGATGTCTCCATTGATACTGATATTAGATAGTTTAATCTCTTTGTATTTATGGTCTTTCTCTTCCCTGATACAATATTTTTTTTTTCTTAATTGATTTCCTTGTTTTTCTGGGCTCTGTTCTAATGTGCTGTATGTTCTAATGGTTTGTATGTGACTTTGGTGACTGAGGCTAGTAATAAACTGATTAAAATGAATAAATAAATAAAATGTAACACACAGTGAAAACTAGTCCTGTTAATCTCTTTGATCATTTAGCCTTCTCTAACTTGATCTTCTCCAGTTGCAGGGAAGAAAAATCCCAGAGTTCCCACCTAATTCTACAGAATACCTCTCCGGGAGAGACTAATGAAACTATCTGTTACCTTTTGACCCTTTTGCATATCTTTATAACTCCCTCCACACATACATGGAAACATCTGTAAACACAGCTTCTGCAGGTAATCAGCTCACCACAGCCAAGAGCTCATGGACATGGATGGTCACCATTGGGTAAAAACTTAGAAATCCACTGTCACTTTCCACGCTGCTGACTGCATTGACCTTTCCTTTCCCTTACGTGATCAAAATCTGCTTTCTATTAATGTATAACTTTATGATTCAGATTTACATTGTGCTAAGAAAGAGAGTGGATTTACCTGATACAGTTAAGAAAGAAGATCACACAGACAGCTTCAGGATATCTTCTTTGTCCATCTTTTTTGAACTAGCTGAGGAGAGGGCCTTTAAAAGAACCATCTGATCTTGGCCATTTCTCCTTTATATAACCTTAGATCACACAGACAGCTTCAGGATATCTTCTTTGTCCATCTTTTTTGAACTAGCTGAGGAGAGGGCCTTTAAAAGAACCATCTGATCTTGGCCATTTCTCCTTTATATAACCTTAGATCACACAGACAGCTTCAGGATATCTTCTTTGTCCATCTTTTTTGAACTAGCTGAGGAGAGGGCCTTTAAAAGAACCATCTGATCTTGGCCATTTCTCCTTTATATAACCTTAGATTCTCTGAAAGTAAGAGATAAATTGCATTCCAGGTATCTTGGAATTCAATGAGGACTAAAAAAAAAAAAAATAGAAGACGATCTTGGGAGATCGGAGATCCTAACTGTAATTAATACACCACGGGACTTGAATCTTTAATTAAGGTTTCCCAAGAGTACCAGAAGTTTGAGGCAAACTTTGGTAAGAATTAATAGGCAAAATATATTGTGTCAGAAGGCCCGAATCCATGATGACGTTCAGAGGTTCACTGCAAACAGGTCTATTTGGATTTGACTCTTTCCGAAGTGAAGATCTAGTTAATATTCTGATCCCAGCTGTGAAACTAAAAAGGAAGGAAGAGAAATCTCCCTGTTCCTTCTCAAAGTTCCGGTTTCTTGTCTGCCATGAAGCACTGGACCAACCCACTCAATTCTGGAAGAGGGAAAGAGTAACCTATCCCTGCACTGTTTCCAAGAAAACTACATGAACACGTTCAAATAAATAAATAAAATAAATAAGATGCTGCAGACAAAGACCATAATTTACTTCAGTTAACTAAACCATGTTTCATTGTATAGGCTAAGCCTGTATCACAGGCCATGTCTGGATCAAGAATCACATGTCTTCAATGAGAAGCTTTAATGCACAAATTATAGATAAAGTACAGCGTCTTGGAAAGAACAATAGGAATCTCCAACCCTCTTTTATTCAAGAATTCATTAAGGCAGAGCAGCCAGACTTAGAAGTGACCATGAAGATACTGGAGTGATAGCTCCTGCATTTTAAGATCAACCATCAACTGTAAAGGAAGAAGTAGTCAAGAAATACGCCACAGCCTAGCGCTTGGTACACCAGCCATGAAGACCTTGGAAAAGATATTCAGATGCCGTGATGGGTCTATACCTACAAGTATCAGAATCATACAAGCTATAGTATTCCCTGTGACACTCTATGGAAGCAAAACTTGTTCTTTGAAGGATCAGGGAGGAGTATTGACGCTTTTGAACTTTGGTGTTGGAGAAGACTCCTGAGAATACCGTGAATAGCCAATAAAACAACAAATGGATCATCAAACAAATCAACCCACTCAAGGCACAAATGACCAGACTCAAATGATCCTACTTCAGACACATGATGCCAAGACCTTGCTCTCTGGAAAGTGCTCTAATGTTGGGAAAGGTGGAAGAAAAGACAACAGGATGACCAGCGGGAAGGTGGATGGACTCAGTTACAGTAGTGATGAGGATGCTGTTGGAAGACATGAAGGAGCACGTTGTGAACGGATCATCTTGGAGAAATCTACCTACATGGTTGTTGTGAGTCGACACCTACTTGATAGCACACAATCAATCAAACAATCAATCATCAAGGCAGAGGGTCTTTTGAGTATTTTGAGTTTCTTTCTGGTTTTTTTGCAGCCTGGACTGAGCTCCCATTGATGAGATAAGCTACTAATAAACTCCTCTGCTATCTGTTGATTGTTTATGACTAGCATTCCTCCAATTACTTACTCAGCCTCAACGCAGTGTTCTACCACACAAAGCTTAACCAGTCAGTGAAAGACCTAAGAGAGGGAGTCATCAATACATTAGGTTTTGTTAGCCTTGGCAAAGATTTTGTGCTTGTACAACCCCTTCCCTTCCTTCTTTTCTTTCAAGGCGTTCTCTTTTAGCCCCAGTGAGATATTTGGTGCCAGTTAACACTGTCAGAGAACCTGGCCCTGTTCTTCATTGCAGTGGAGAGTGCCTTGCGCTGACCTGCAACCAAGCGGGTATGGAGGGAGACCAAGATGATGCCATAGGAGGCCACCAGCACCACAAAGCAGACCACGGAGATCAGGACTGAGTTGGACACATCAGGAACTCAATGATATATGTGTCAGTACAGGCAAGCTTGATGATTGGGAGAACATCACAGAAGAAGTTGTCCACCATCTTAGGCCCACAATATGGGAGTCTGACTGTCATGCCAGTCAACACATATCCCACCAGAATCTAAAAGCTCTTGTGCCACTTCTCTGAGCAACTACTAATAAATGCTGAAGGCTTGGTTGGTCAGAAGAGCGCATTTCTGCAAAGGGATCAGAAAGCCAAATAAAGCTTAACAGTTTTGGTTCTAGGATGGTATAAGCAGGAAAAATCAGTTCTTCCCCGGGACATGAAGGAGCAGCATAACGCTCTTTGACATGTGGGCTGGAACGAGTTGAGGCAGCCTTGTCTGATGAAGGGGCACCTTTGGGATTGCTAAAGGCATTCTCAAGTTTTAAAAAGAGCTCATACAGGTAGTCCTCGTTTAGCAACTTCCCTTTTAGTGACCTTTTGCAGTTATGGCAGTGATGAAAAAGTAACTTTACAACCTATCCTTGCATTTACGGCCGCACAGGTCTGTAAACTAAACAAAAGCTGAAGTCAGATCATAAGCATAGTTGAAGTTGCACTTAGTGATTGCTTCAGTTAAAGACCAAGTTGCCAGTCCCAATTGTGGTCACTAAATGAAAACTGCTCGTATTTCGTTATGTATTTGTTAAATTCATATCCTTCCTTTCCTCCAGGTGCTCAAGTCACCTTGCATGAGGATCTTGCTTCATTTTATCTCCACAACAAGCTTGTGAAGGTGTGCAGAGAGACCATGGCTGAGTCACAATGCTGATTGTTTGGGACCGCGGCTGAGTCATAATGCTGCTTTATTCATTCATTCATTCATTCATTCATTCATTCATTCATTCATTCATTTTATATGTGTATCTGCATCCTCAGACAACCTATAAAATGGGAGAGGTTCATCGCACACCGTTCCCAGTGCCTTACCCACTGTGTCACATTGCTGCTTTTTCATTTATG